AAAAAAAAAAAAAAAAAAAAATATGTATTTTAACCATGCCCTACCTCCCATATAACGATAATTTGCAGAAATACGAAAACTTCGATATTTTAGTAACTACTGAAGCTTATTCGCTAAAAAATTATATTTATAATGATTTTTAGGCGGAAAATATAAATAATATACATTTTTGGAAAAGTTGGCGTAGCCACGCCCACTTATGATTACATGTGTGTATCTCGGTAACCGCTTCACTAATATATCCCAAACTTTACAAAGTGGTTGGTCCTGGTAAAACATACCAAATGGTTGAAAATTTTTAAAATCGGACAATAACCACGCCCAAACTCGGTAAACTTATTTTACTCTTCACATAAAAGCAAGACTCTGAAAATTTTTGAAGTCGGACTAAAATTACGCCTAGTTTTCGCATAACGTTAAATTTCAGAAGCACGGAAACTTCGATATTTCGCAATTTCGGAAAGATGAAAAAAAACTAAATCTAATACGTGCGCCGAGTATTTAATGTTGGGCTTCGCCCGAACTTAGACTTCTTTACTTGTTTTAATTACAATTACAATTGTAAGTAAGCAAAGAAGAGCCACAGTGATGTTGTGAGCCAAAGAGAGCCAAATGAGCTGCTGAATGTGCACCAATGGGTTAAAATTAGGTGCGGGAAAGGTACAATTGTGCTTACTGTTTTATCACCAGGGAACGGATTTTTAGGACCTAAAAACCTATAAAAAAGGCAAAATAAAATAGCGAAAAAGGCAGGAAAAGGCAAAATAAAATAGCGAAAAAGGCAGAAAATACGAAGAACAATCAAAAAATACATTTATTTTAGAAATATTTATATTACAAGTAAAAAGAGAAAAACTATGGACTAGTTTCATTATATGAAAAATTTTTACTTTGAATCATTGACTATTTTATCCTTTCGAGTTTCTAATTCATAAAACTTTAATCTGTATAGTTGTAGTAACATTAAACCACAAGATGCATTTTGAAGTTTTCTGGCAGCCTTTTCATTCGATTTTCGCGAAGAAAAGCCTTGAATGTACTAAATGTGCGCTCGACGTAAGTTCATACAACTGGAGCCCAATTTAAATGTGGAAAGTTTGAAACGTTCATATTATCAGGAATAAGGGCCTTTTCCTCGCCCTTTACAATTTTATCAACACCCCTTATTGTCTCCATGCTTACGTTAGCTGAGAAAACGGCTTTGAATTTTTCCAACACCAATTTGGCAAGAGGTCCCTGCGCTTCTATAAGCCGCATGGGCATGTGTATACATATTTTTTAATCTTAAAAAAAAAATTGTAAATGCTATTATCACATTTTTAAAGGTAGAAAAGGCAAAAAAAGGCAAATATCTTAAAAAAGGCAAATATTTTAAAAAAGGCAACATCAAATGTGTATATATGGAATCAGGGAAAGCTAAATCGTGGACATTCTTAACCGAATATACTCTATCTCTTTAGCAGAAAAAAAGGCAATTTCCATAAAATCCGTTCCCTGTTTATCACTGATGCCTTGTCAGGAGGGCATTTTTCTAAAGGCGGTCGCCTCTAGTCAAGCAATGTCCAAACACATATGTATTTTTTGGAGATTATTCCTTGCGATGCGTCTTTACATTAAATATCATTTCTTATGCACTTCCTATTTCAATAAATGCATTGCATTTGAAATTCTGCTTTTCATATTTATTAAAAATTTTGGGTGCCCGATATTCCTTACGGGGCTGGCAGGGCGTATGAGTGACCTATGCATTTACCTTCGTATGATTCATTAAAATTAATAAAAAATTAACTTATGCTACCACTCCTTCACATTAACCAATCACAGCAGCTTTATGCCTTTTTTTTAGTATGTATGTACATAGTATACTTAAATATTTTTAAAAAGATTTCGTCCTTATTATAGTCTCTTAGCAACTTACCTGCTCCACACTGTATATTTCCATATTGGGATCACTTTCAAGCCACTGGTGTTGCTGGCGATATGCAGCTTCGGTGCGTTTCTTTATGTTACGATGGCAACAATAACAAACAACGCATAGAATGGTGGTAACCACTGATAGCATGGCGCTGCAAGAAATTGTGAAAAACAAACATACAAACATACAAACATACATACATATAAATTAATATGCGCTCAGTTATACATACATATACATACAAAAGAAATTCAGTTATTTTCGGCTAAATCAATTAAAGCAATGAATATTGAAGTGACCTCATTGATTTTGTCTACATACATAGCTATCGCATTCTACTCAAGAAGGCGTGTTAAAGTGTACCTGTGTAATTAGAGCTTTTAAGACAGCTTTTTTCATGCTATAAATAAAATCTGAATGGTTGTTAAAATAATGGTCATGCAATATTTTAAATGGTTTCATATTCATTTCTGTCGAAAAGTATTGCTTACTAAGTAATTATGCATTTCTATTTTGTTGTTGTGTAGTGAAATAAAATCAATACATTGAGAGCTGAGTGAATAAGTAAGTATCTGCGCGTGTTCGCGTGACTTTTACATATTTTACTTTCGGTCATTCGCAGTTTACGTGCATGGAATACGGAATTTATTTATTTATATGTTCGCACAGTTGTACAAATGTATGACAATTTTGTGAATAAAAGCTGAGTAGACAATTAATTGAAGGAACCTACACGCCTACATACATACGTAAATATCGTCGTTTAAATTACAAAACGACGTATGTCATTTTGTAAAACCGCGTAACTGACATTTGCTGCCAAAAATTGTATTTGCACACACAAGCTCTTGGCTCAATTCTTATCCATTAGTCCTGAAATCTACCAGCCAGAAATGCGATTGCTTTCTAAAAAAAAAGAGAACGATTTTGAAATATGAGTGTTTTTACTCCCAAGAAATTAATTTATGCAACCTCACATACGCGGTTTTGCATTTTGTTGATACGCGGTTTTGTACTTTAAACGACGATATGTATGTTTGCATACCAGGGGGGTAAAAACTTCGGACGGAGACAAAATGATAGACTTATTAAATACTATAAATAAATTTATAAAAAAAGTGAGGGAAATACCGGTATTGTAGTCTAGAATCGACAATGCCTTACGATTACGCAAGTGTGTACATACATATGTACACATGTTTCTTACCGTATTGTGTAACCGTTAAGCGTTTTTATTGCCGCATTTTGATTGCTTGCTTAGTACACCATTATTGCGGCCATATCATTTTACAATGGGGCGATTAATGGACAAAGGTACAATATAGTTACATACAGCCCGCGACAAAAGATAGCACATCAACATTTTTGCCAGTTTTGCCCAGAGACCCAGCATAATAATTATTTTATGGTGGAGTCTTTTGATAATAATTATGTGTGAGAAAATTTTTTTTAAGTCATCGCTAACTATTATTTTAAGACTTATCTAATAAAAGTATTTTCATAATAATTATCAGCAAGATAAATATTTTTAAGTCTTCAAAGACTTTTAGTTTGAGACTTATGTATATTATAAAGTCTAATCATAATAATTATGAGTGCGAACAAATTTTTTGAGTCTTAAAAGAGGGGGTTCCAGGACCATTTCGGCATTAGTTTGTGACCATTTCGGGATTTATTCGGGACTAGTTGCGGGCCAGGTCGGGGCTAGTTGGGGACAAGTTCGAGAACAGTTTGGAACTTGTTGGGGAGTAGTTTGGGACCAGTTAGGGACTAGTTTTGGACTTTTAAGGCTTAAAAAAAATTTTTCGCACTCATAATTACTATAGACTTTTATCATATAAGTCTCAAAATAAAAGTCTTTGAAGACTTAAAGATATTTATCTCGCTGATAATTATTATGAAAAGACTTTTAATATATAAGTCTTAAAATAATAGTTATCGATGACTTAAAAAACTTTTCTCACACATAATTATTATGAAAGGACTTTTATAATATAAGTCCTTGAACAATAATTATAGATGACTCGAAAAATATTTATCTTAATATAATAGTTATTGATTGACTTTTAGTCTTTTCTCTTATAATTGTCACTGGTGTTGCCTACTTTTCTTTTGTTTGTTTTTTAAGGTTCATTAATTTTTTATTAAAGTTCAGCTCCTTATCTTACAAAAACCATTTAAGGGCAAATTTCAAACTTTTTACAAAAATTTAAAAAATTGCACAAACTTTTCATCTCAATTTCAAATATTTTAATTAGTATTTCTCAAATGATTTTTGGTATGTTATTAAAATCTAGTATAATAAAGTGGCAGTTTGAAGTTGCAAAAAATTGCATTGATTTTTGGAAATTTTTTCTGCACTTTTTTCCATATGAAAAATTACTTTGTATGGATATTGTACTAGACTTTAATAAGCGATAAATCTGCATACTAAAAATTATTCTAAAAATTAAAATGCTTGGAACTGGGATACAAAGTTTGGGGAATTTTTTATTATTTTTATACATAGTCTGAAATTTGGATTTATACGCCATCTGTTATATAAATTTCATAAACATAAGAGAAATAGTCAAAACTGTTCAAATTGTTGAGGTGCTATCGTTTTGTCGCGGGCTGTATGTACATCAATATTATGTATGTATACAAGCAAATTTAATTGTGTTAATATTACATACGTATGTATATATGTATTTGTAATAAATCTTTTAAACATTATCTTAAGAAACGATAAGGAAACTCTTCTTTAGTATAGATAAGGGGGAGGCAGTAAAATAAGTAAAAAAATAGGTTAAACGGTTTTGTTGAACAGAAAGATAATAATGATGTATATAATGTACTAACAGTTAAAAAATAATTAGATAGGTCCTAATTATAAGTCTTCCCACCACTCTTCTTGCGAGTTTGAGGCATTGATCAGAATAAAAAATAAAGCCGTGGCTTTTGGTGCATTATCTACATCATTATTTTAGTTCTTTTCAATAAATAATTTTTCTTTTGCTTATCTTGTATTGCTACAATTTTGTTCACACACACGAGTAACGGACATAACAACGGTCGACCCTCAATGTGCGAATAGCGGAATTGGAAGTGCATTAAGTTCATAATTGTGGTAAGTAATCCACAATCCCCAGAATGTCAGTTCAGGATGCAAGGACTACCATTTATCGAAATAAGTATTTAAAAACGAGAACTTCATGGGAAGCGTCAAAAAAGGTTAGCCATGATTATGTAAGACCAGAAACTTGCAATTTCAATTTAATATTTTATAAGTTGGTTAAGAAGTGCTTATATGTGCGAAATAGGCGGTTGAATGAATAAGTTCATAGCGAAACTATATTTTTCCTCCTTAAGGGATATAGGACAAAATGATGCTCATTAGCCTTGTTGACCTGTGACTTCCGAGGTTTAACTTCACACATAATTTCAAGATCTTAGTTTTGGAAAAAGAAAATAAAAATCGTTTTGGGAAGTAGTGCTGGAAAACAACACCGGAATTCTACCGCGTAAATGCCCTAGATTGCAACGAATTGACAGCACTGCCTCTTGTCTATAGTCAGCCAAAGCCGATTTTATACAAGGTGGCGTCGGTTGAGCAAAAACAGAAATCACGACAACAAACTACATGCACAATGACGGCAAGAGGTACCACAAAAATACAAAAAAACATATCATTTTGACATTCAAAAGGACTGCGGCGAATTCTAGCTACACCATCTTTTGTAAATTCCACGGACCGTAACAGTTACAACTTTTATTAAAAAAAAACTCGCTCTTTAACAATTATTTTTTGCCTTTTATTTAATTACTCCTTAAATAACCGCTATTTCTGACTTTTACTTTATAAATGCAAAATAACAATTATTTTCGATTTTTATTTAAATAATCTGCAAATAACAGTTATTTTTGTTTTTTAAATTATATGTCTTACATAACAGTTATCGAGGTCATTGACCTTTATTTTTTAAATCGTACTTATAAAAGTCATTTGTATAAGTCGTAGTAAACTTTTGTTTCCCAACACCTTATTTACTGCGAAAAATGTGAAGGACATTTTTTACCAATGCTTGAAAAAATAAAAGTCGGTGACTGATTTATATTGATGACTTTTAACAGTAAAAGTCACTGAATGATTTTTATTGATGACTTTTATAAATAAAAGTCTTCAACAACTGTTATCTAAGACATATACCATAAAAATCAAAAATAATTGTTATATAATGGATGAAGTACTATTAAAAGACCTAAGTCTTACCCTGTACTACTAGAAAAATAAATAAATAAATAAATAAATTTGGATTTATAATTTAAAAATCACAAATAATTGTTATTTTTTTTAATTTGCATAAAAATTGCAAATAAAAATTTATTTTTAAATTTGAGCCTCGTGGAAAAAGAAATCGATTGGTATTTATCACTTAGTTGTAGAACGTTTCCTTCAATGTGAATTTTTCCATGACAGTTTTCATCAATAACTGTTATGTTCGGTCCCTGATAAATTCACCTTGAGTCAGCCGATTGCCAGAAGTCAAAACCATGATAACTAATATTTTTAAAATTTTACAAAATTGTCAGAAATTGTAAAAAAAATTAAATGCATTTAACTTAAGAAAATTGCTTACCGGTCAACTATAAGTGGAATGCACTTTGTGAAGATGAAAAATACTGCAAGCCTACGGCATATGATCTACCAAAGACTGTACGTATGTATGTGATTTAAAAATATAATACAAGCTTTTGTGGAAATTCAATAAGTATGCACATAGATAAAGTGCTGGCCAATTTAGTATTAATTTTTTATTTGCACTTACCCGCATAATAGTAAATTCGCATTTCCATTAATTGCATGTGGATATGTTTGATGACCGCCACCGATGCTTCCACCACCACCAATGCCACCTGAATTGTGACCGATGAGGCCACTTAGGCCAAAACTCGCGCGTATTGTTTGCAAGCCATTGCCGGGCGTATATGCATTAATTATGTTCGTATATGTCTCGTTGCTGTCATCTTCACTGTTGTCATTGCTGTCATCGGCGTAACTATCGTCGTCGATAATTCGATGACTCTTAGTTACAGTTGCTAATGTTGTTGTTGCTGTGGTTGCTATAGCTGTTGCTGGTTGTGTTTGCTTAATGTCAATATTTGTTGTTGTCGCTGTTATTGTTTCTTGCGCACTTATTGGTGCTGCAATATTTGAAATATTTTGCTTGTTATGCTTCAGCGTTAGCGGCGCAATTATTGCCAACCGTCTTAAGGACATCATTGCAGTTATTTGCTATTGCGCTTCGCTGATTTCTAGAAAAATGCTTATGCACCTACATATGTAGCAATAAAACAAATCTATAAGTAAAAAAATCCGTTTCCGCAAGGAGGAATTGTAGCAGGTAGAAATCCTGTGCAAAATGTCTTAATTTTTTTTAGGAGAAAAATTTTGTTTCCGAAATCGAAGCTCTATTTTTTGATTCCGATATGTGCTGCATGCACGTTGGTTTTCATTTATAATATAGCTTTGAGGAAAAGGTACTTTCGTCATTGTTCATGGTTTTCAATTTAGATTTTTTTTTATAGGAAATTCAAGTCATAGCGCATTGAAACCATTTCAAACCAGCTTTTTATCACAAAGAAGTCTGCATAGACCGAAATAAGAAGAAGTGGTCGGACTGGACACGTTTCATGTCATAGAGTAGATGCATTAAAACTTCATAGCCGAGGTCTCTAAACTTTTTCCGAGTGAATTAAATGGCATATTAATTCCGGCTGTTTTTTTTTAATATTTTTGTGTTGTTTTTTTATAAAAATATTGTCCAAAATTTATCCAAGCCACATAAATCACAGTTCAATCTTTATACAAAATTCAAACTTTTAAATCGGAATTTTTCGAACACCTTTGTGTATGCAGTTTTATAGAACATACAATTTTAGTCCGTTGAGTGCCAGTTCAAACCGTCTAAAAAATTGCGTTCATTTTTAATATTTTTTTGCTGACGGAATTTTGCTCTGGCTTCCATATAAGCATACATTTTTAACCGACTTCCAAAAAAGGAGGAGGTTATCAGTTCGTCGGAATATATTTTTTTTTTATGTACATATGTTACCGCATAACTTTGGACCACGTCAACCGATTTCGATAATTCGATTTTGCATCGGAAAGGTAGTGTCTCAGAGGTGGTCCCATACTAATCTGGTTAAGATCCGATCAGTGGATCATGAGATATATATATATATATATATATATTTTCTTTTATATGAGAGTTGAAGTCGGTTTTTTTTGCTAAAAATTACTTGTTTATGAATTAAATTGCATTTGTTATATAAATAAACCTCAAAAAGCAAAAAAAATTAAAAATCAACGCTATTTATATAGCCGACTGGAACTTGCAAGTCATTAGACTAAAATTACATACCCAAAGTGTTCCAAATATTCAGAGTAAAAGGCTTAAAGTTTTGATGACAGTTTGTTCAGCTTTCCTTAATTTGGTATTTGAAACTTTGATTTAATTGGTTTTGTTAAAGCTAGGATAGTATTTATACACATAGAAAAATGACGCAAAAAAAAAAAAAATAAAATTAAAAAAATCAACACGTGAACACTGGTTTGAGTCACTGTACAATCTGCGATTGTTATTAAGACTGTTACCGGTTTTCCTTTTGCGAAGAAAGAAGCAGAACAACGTGGCGTATGAGTAATATGCATCGGACACCTTGAATATTTTGATGAACTTGGACATTATCGCAACATGTCTTGCTTGAGGTGCTTTTCGAGAGTTGTAAATAAATGGCAAAAGGCCATTAAATACACACATAAGTATGTATGTGTGTAGGCACATTAGGATGGTCCAAAAATTCATGTGAAAAAGTATAGTCCAAATTTTAATGCTCTCACTCTCACCTCTTAGGATTATATATTTATATATTTATTTTATATCGAGAAAAATACACCACTGTTTTTTTTTTTAGTTAGGAATTAAAATATATTTACAGATCGCTTAAATGGAGTTTGTATGAAAAAAAAACAATTTTTCTTAGGAATGGTATAGAATTCTTAAAATTCAATCGCAAAACTCTGTTTCTCCTCAGGAGACTTCCAATAACAATATCCAATTGTTTACTTTTCCATTTTTTAACATTAAAAATTTTTTGTTAATTCTCCCATTGCATTTTTTGATGCTGTTGGGTTACCTATAAAAAATAGTTAATACTAACAAAATAGTTAAATAACACTTGAGTATTATTATTGGAAGTCTCCTGAGGAGAAACAGAGTTTTGCAATCGAAAATTTTTAATTTTTAAGAATTCCATACCATTTCTACGAAAAATATTTTTTTTCCTATTCAAAATACAAATAAAACAACAATGTAAGATATATTTTTTGTTCACTACATAAAATTCCGACATTACTTTTTTTGAAAACCCTAATGCAAATATGTATTTATGTTTTGATTTTCATGCCGAATGCAAGTTTACGTAGCACTGAAAATAAATGGTAAGAAATAAATTAGGTAGTTCGGTATTTTAGAAAGCGATGCATTTTGAACTGTTCTTGCTTCTGCATCAAAATCCTTTTTTTTTTAGATAAAGTGGACTTTTAACATCAGCTTTATTTTTGTCAGCGTTGCAGGCTACCAATTTTAATAAAAATTATGCAATTTTAGTTTTCCACTGAGTTCCAAGATATTTTTTTTTTAACACCTGAAACTTGTAAGTTAGTCATAAAGCCTGAAATCCCTAAAAACTTAAATAATTTTAAGTGCTTTTAACTTCGACTTAAATTCTTCTTACACAAATCCTATCATTAGTTCTTTAGCGATTATAAAACCCATTTAGGTTATTAAATCACACACATACAAAAGTCGTTGTCATCGATTAGTTCACTGATTTACAACACACACACACACATACGCGTATAGCTAGCTTTTTATTTTTAGCCTTCATTAGAAATGTAGATGATTTCATTTGTATACGTTTTTTTTTAAACTATGCATTCTTTTATTTCAAAAATGTTCGTTACACGTTTTGTTTATATAAATCAATTCAATCGTTTTTTTTTTAAATCACTTTTTTTCTCTTTATAATAACAGTAGGTGTTTTTTCTTAAATGCACTGGATTTTAACGATTTTCTTCGTTCGCTTCATTCGTCCATCGCGTCTGTACAGCTCGCTCACATTTACCAAACTAACTAGTTGGACAGGATAAAGAGAGCATGCTAGCAAAGTTTAGTCTAGTCTAGTCTAGCTCGATTGACTGTCACCTACGAAGCGGACAAACACATGCACACTGGTGCTATATTTACGTCGTGCATTGGTTGATTGTAGTGGTCGGAGGACTACTCCTGCCACCTTCAGAGTGTCCTCCAACGCTTAGTGGGGTTAAATATCGGTGCTATTCGTCTCCCTCCCAGTGCGCCAGTTTCAATAACAGTATTGCATTACAACTGATAATCCACCTAGGTTAGATGTACATGCATATATATGTATGTATTTATTTACAGTTAACTGAAATGTTTTGTCTCTTTTTGAAAAACGTTTAGATTATGTTTAGTAAATGTAAACATACCTACCATCATTTTGGTTATATAAAAGCGTCTGTTACTTATTAGTTGACATAGTTGCAGTTTCATTTTCCATGCATTTTTTAAGTCTTAAAGCAGCGAGGGGAATTATGTTTCAAGGGGCCGTATGAATAAAAATTAAGCAATTGCTTTTTCTTAAAATTTCGTACGCTTTACTTCAGTTTTGTTTCATTAAATCGAGTAAAAGGTCTGAAATTAAAAAAAAAAGCGATTGCTTATTTTTGTTCATACCACTCAATATCTTCATTTGTAAGTGAGTTCAGTATGTTGTGGAAAATAATGATAGAACTTCTATTAAAATTAAAAATATGGGTTTTTTGTTACCAAGAAATAGACAGGGATGTTTTTTAATTTTTTAATTTTGTACAGTTTTGGAATTTTTTTTTTTTTAATTTTTTTTCTATTTATTTTTTTTACGCCGTACGGCCCATAACTCAAAAACCCTTTCTGCTCCTATTTGCGAGGAATTCCGTCAATAGCATTTTGAATTGACTGATACTTTGGGCCACGTTAACCGATTTCTATAATCCTTTTTTTAAGAAAGGTGGTACCTCAGAGTTTTACATCCGGTCATTGGATCATCAAAAAATTAACCGTACACTTAAATTTGTATATGTATGTATGAGTCAAGTTTTCTCAAGTGGGCCACCCAAAGTTGACTTTTCGATTTTTTTATATTTTATTGACCATTTTGAAAGTTAACATTTATTTACTAATTTTATTTTTTTGGCGAGTTATTTGCAAACAAACTTTTATGCAGGCTTTTACACTTTTTGAAATATTTCAGCAACCATACATTCGAATCTTATGATTTTTTGGCAGCAATTGGAGAACTTATTGGGCAACAAAACAAAGCGGTCAGTTTGTGGAAATTCGATTCTTGTTTTATAAAAAAATTTATTTATTTAATCAATTGAATTTTTTTACCAACTTCTCATATACCTAGGAGAAGAATTCAAAAAACATTATTTGCGCTAAACATTCTATTTCACTTTTATAAAAAAAAAATAACTGTACTGTTGATTGACTTAAAGCTTTTTACCAAAAAAATTAACCAAGTTTAAAAAAATATAATACAAAGGAACTGAAAAGCAAAAAAATAAGATTTCAAAACTTAAGTATCAAATCAAGAATTATCAAACTAAAAAGACGGTAAGTTTCTAAAAAAAATTTGTTTTTCTTTTCAGAATTCGCATAGATTTTTTGTTTTAATTTTTTAGAGACTTTCATGAAGTTTTTGCCTGAGAGCCCTAGTAAAATTTTCGGAAGAATCATTTTCTAGAATATATTAATCCTCTAACGACCTCAAAAAATTTGCTTTTTTCTTGAAGTAAGGGTCGCACGTTTATTTTAACAACTTTTTCCACTTTTTTGAAAACTACTTAGGCCGAGACATGAAAACTTTACGGTTTTAATTTTATACATTGGTGGCATGAAGTTTTTGCCTAGGAAGACCCCCAGTAAAATTTTCCGAAGAATAATGTTCTAGAATATATCAATAAATACTAGCTAATTTTTACAAATAAATCGGGTGCTTTACTACTGCATGGATATACTTTCAGAAAATGTTAACAAAGTCCGGGCTGGTTTCGACTGTCGCGCAGTGTAATAAAAATTTTCGCGTTTGATGGTTATTTTCGGTCTCCTATTTAAACCGAATCGAAGGCAGGGTTTTGGGACGTTTCAACGT